GGTAGATCTCTTCTAGGCTTTTCAGATACAGGGTTTGTGTATATATATATATATGTGTGTAGTATATACATATAGCGAAGGTGCCATATAGCGGTATATGCATGGTAATTCAAAACAGCCCATAAACTTAGAAGGTGCGCAGCAGGAACCCCCTTCTAAATTTATCTACTGTTTTGAAGTGCCGAAAATGCTACCTTCTAAGTTCCGGGCCGTCGTTATAATTATTTAAAAAAAACTGTCCCAACAGTCAAAGTCAAAATAAGCTAATCATAAAGCTTCAGAAAGTCAAAACGCAGTCAATTTGCCCAGATCCGACTTTTTGTTTGACTTTTTGTTTGACTTTTTTTGAATCGTTTCAATTTTTGTTTACTTGCATTTTTTCGACTTTTGTTGGACTTTTTCGAGTGGTTGACTTGTTTTGATGTTTTTTTTAATTTGACTTCTGCAATTTGACTTTTTTGACTGTTTTTGTTATATAAATCAAGGATTCTGGCCTTACCATATGAATGATTTTTATAACACTAGATTCTCACTAGATCAAAACCTATCAAAAACACTGTAAATACCATGCAAATTCAAATTATCAAAACTTCTTGTGCCTAGTCTAGCTCCTTACCTTCCTTGAACCAAACAAAGCAACTTGACCAAGAAAAAAGCCTGGTGAAGATTGAAGCAGCCTTCCTTTTTGGTGCTCAATGTTAAGGCACGTTTGAACGTGTAGAACAACTTGAGCAAGACAGATTCAACCTACTGGGGCATTAGAAACACCTACTGAGACAGGACACCAGAAGTAACTTGTTGCCTGGATAGAAGTTAATTGATGCTGTTGCAACTTGGTCTAGCTCATTAGCTTCTTCTTTGATATTGCGTTCCTTTATTTGCATCTTAATGCTCTTAAGAAGGCAATGTTTAAACGCATAATGTATGTGGAAATGCGGATTTTCTTCCTGTCAGCCACTCAAGATCCTGAGTGGCTGAGTGGCTGACAGGGAGAAAAGCCTGAATGGCTGACAAGAAGAAACGCCTGAGTGGCTGACAAGAAGAAACGCCTGAGTGGCTGGTGTGGAGTAGTCATCGTAGTAGAAGTAGCATTTAGTAGTATAGCTGTAGTCGTCGTATTTGCAGTCGTAGCGTAGTAGTACTGGTCGTCGTTGACGTCGTCAGCCTGAGTGGATGGGTGGCTGAGTGGTTGGCTTCCCCCGGGGTGCGGTTGTATCAAGTACACCCTGCGGGCTTGATCAATTCATGTGGCCCGTTCTCGAGGTCACGGGATCTTTTCTTGAAGGTAGCAGCAGTAGTAGTAGTAGTAGTAGTAGTTGTTGTTGTTGTTGTTGTACTAGTAGTAGTAGTAGTAGTTGTTGTTGTTGTTGTCCTGCTGTTACACGATTGCCGAAAAAGGGGCCGTCCAATCGTCCAAGCGTCGACGTTTGGACGGCCCCATTTTCTCGGTTGGCCTTGTTCGGAATTTGCTGCTTCTGGGTTCAACCAGGATAAGGCTGATAGGCCTACGGTTGGGCCTAGCTGGTTTGCTTTGCTGCTGCTCCTGATGCTGCTAGTCCTGCAGACATCAGACGTCTGCCAGACAGCTTTTGCTCGAATTTTGCAAATGCTCCGCCCAAACAAGAAAACAATAACATTTTACAGTAGATAGATCTTCGTGCGCAAATGAGATTCGGTCAAGAAACTTTCATCGAAAGGGACTAGGAGGTAGTAGTAGAGTGACTGGAAGTATTCACGAGTCAGGGGGACCGCCCCCCTGACTTAAGGGTGGCTTGCCAAACAGCCGCCCGCACAGACGCAGGCTTCGGAATGAGATCGCATGAGTTGTGCGCTCTGCGTTGGCTTTGGTGCCGCAGTATCGACCGGCCACCCTGACACACGCCATGCATCAATAGCATGTGGAGCTCTTATCTCGCTGTGAATCGTATTACCTATATGTTTGCGAAGACCTAGCAGGAAAATAATGCAAAAAGAGGTCGATGAATCTATTGTCACTGTGAGGACACTCCTGGATGTTGATGGATGTTGATGGTTGGCACTTGGAGGTCGCCAGGGCCAGGGGGCACAGTTTCTGCTCAACTCGGGCTCTACATCCACATTTGTCTCGCTTTAGACATCAAACGGGAAACTCATCGGCAAAAGCATTGAGGAGAAGGGAGGTCATAGAAGTACCGAACCCGTCGCACCTTAGGGAGATACCAGCAACAGGCGAAGCAGCAGGGCAGCAGCAAAGAAACTAGCAGCAGGAAACTAGCAGCATCAGGAGCAGCAGCAAAGCAAACCAGCTAGGCCCAACCGTAGGCCTATCAGCCTTATCCTAGTTGAACCCCGAAGCAGCAAATTCCGAACAAGGCCAACCGAGAAAATGGGGCCGTCCAAACGTCCACGCTTGGACGATTGGACGGTCCCTTTTTCGGCAATCGTGTAACAGCAGGACAACAACAACAACAACTACTACTACAACTACTACTACTACTACTACTACTACTACTAGTACTACTACTACTACTACTACTACTACTACTACTACTACTACTACTGCTGCTACCTTCAAGAAAAGATCACGTGACCTCGAGAACAGGCCACATGAATTGATCAAGCCCGCAGGGTGTACTTGCTACAACCGCACCCCGCGGGAAGCCAACCACTCAGCCATCCATCCACTCAGGCTGACGACGTCAACGACGACTAGTACTACCACGCTACGACTGCAAATACGACGACTACAGCTATACTACTAAATGCTACTTCTACTACGATGACTACTCCACACCAGCCACTCAGGCGTTTCTTCTTGTCAGCCACTCAGCCACTCAGGCGTTTCTTCTTGAGCACATACCCTCATAAAAGCAAAAGCAAAATAACCCTGGTGAAACAATTTTACACACATTTGAGCATATAGGAAAAGTTAAGCAAGACTGCGAGACATGTGAGGCACTTGAAAGCCCTTTTGAGACTGCGAACAGCTCGCAGGGGCGTTTTGCGACCCCGTCCGAAGCAAAAAACAACAAATACGTTCAAAAACACACAACAATACAAAGTATACAAAAACAAAAGGCATCAAACCAATATACAAAACATAAACACCATTGAAACCAATGTTTGAGACAAAATGATGGCAAAACCAAAAACAAACTAAATCCTAATAGTACCCTCATTTTGTCTCAAGCATAGGCAGCATAGGTTTGTGTGTTTTTGTGTTTTGTTATTTTGGTATTCCCTCTAAACCTTTGTCGGCCTGGTCTGAACAATTGAAGCAAAACAATGATTCAACACTTAAGTGTTTTTGTCAGGTTTCAGCCAAAAGCTACTGTACAACATAATGTGTTTATCATGGTTAACAACAAAACATTGAAGCGACAAATGGTTCAAAACCTAGGTTTTGGTGATGTTTCAGCCAAAAGTTAAACACAGTGTGTTTGCACATATTCTGCACAAAACACATCTCTCAGGAACACCCGTTCTGAATTGAAAGTTCTCGTCATTTCTGAACGCTTTTTCCTTGAATGTTTTTGTTCATTATTCATTGTTTTCACCTGTGTTCACCTAAGATAGTTCTGTTTGTGCATGCTAACTTTTTTCTGAACCCTGACCTGACCTGCACGTCGATGGCATGCTGCTGGCTAGCTGTGGTTCCTCATCAGTGAGCAAAGATAATTATATAAGTAATATATATAATAAGCAGATGCTCAGATGCACAGATTTTTGCGTCGCTGCTGTGTCATTCTTAGCAGACCTCAAAAGCTGATTCCATGGGAAGGATCAAGAGTGCATTTCAGCACTTCAAGCCTCAGCCGATCAAATCCCTTCACCCAGCTGCCTGCTGAACCACAGCCACGGGATAAGAGCTGAAGGGTTGTTCTTGACTGCCTACACATACTCTAAGTTTTACAACTTTCACCTGACATTTTTGCTTTCCCGCTTTTCGGGTTGCTTGTTTTGTCCTCAGTTTTGGGCATGTTTGCCCTTTCAATCTTGGCAGTTTCGTATTTGAGCAAGTCTTAGACAAAAGTTTCTCTTGTAACCCACCACCACATGAATGCAATACACGGTGAACACTTTACTCTCACAAGCGATCCCGGAGTCCCAAAACCAGATGCCAACAAGTCCTGAAGCAAATTGGAGAAAGGATGATAAGGGAGTACGCAAAATAGACTCATTTCGCCAAGTGAGTTGATGCTGCATGGAGGTCTCTTTCAGCGCTCGAGAGCTGTGCTCAGTTGATCTCTCTATTCAGAGCCCGCACGATGAGTCAAGGCCCGAGGCAATCAGTCCAAGTAGTCAAAGTCAAAGAACTCGCTGCGCGTACATATATATATATATATGTATTATTGTTTCTACTAGCTTATTGTTACTACTAGTAAGGAACTTGTTACTAGAAGCGATGCACTTGTTCCTGGTAGCTTCTTGTTATGTACATTGACTACTTGACTGTGTACAGTTTCATGACATGAGAATCCCTAGAATCAGCTTTAAGCCACAAGTGGTATCAAGTGGCCCTGAGCCCATACCGTCCTTAAGAAATTGATTAGGACGGAGGGTGCTGAAGGTGGCAGATTCTTCAGCAAGCCACAGCACTTGAAGTGTCAAATGAGGCGTTTAGACTGGTGGGAACACATACGTCGGTGTCGACGCCGGGCACAAGCACGACCTGCTTCGCCCTTGGTACGAAAACATGCAGGCTTTGAATGTCAGATGCCATAAATGTGCTACTTATATACTGTAAATATAATGGCAATGAGGTGCCATCACTTTCAGTTGCAGCATTACTGCTGCCGCCATCGATACGGTACAAGGTGCGGCCGCTCACTGTTCGACCATGCAACCCGCCTCATTAGTGTTTGCTATATTTAGCGCGGGTAAAGTCAGTTGCAAGGACCGTGGGTGGAATGTGTTACATTAGAATCTTTGGTCCGTTGTCCCTGTTTTGCGGTGTTTGATAGTCATCTATATAGTTCATTCTGTGTTTGCCTACGGAATGTGCTGGACTTCAGCCCGTCAGGCGCGGTTGGACAGCTCTATTTCCAAGGTCGGAGCTTATCTCGGGCAATGTTAGAGTTTGTGAATGGGCCATTGCCTGGAGTCTATCAGAGTCTAATTCACCCGGAGTCTATCAGGGTCTTCGCAACCTGCAGTCATTGAGGCAGATTCCTGGCAACCATTGGCAACCTTCAAAGCTACAGTTCAACCACAAGTCACCACGTGTAATGTCACCTCATGACACGCACCCGGGTTGTATGACACCTCCGCACATCACGACTGACAGTCCGACATCACACATAACCACACAACAATCCAAGCGCGTCCAGGCATCTCCAATCACAACACTACATGGCGTCCGGTCAAAAGTCTATAATCAAAAAATTTAGATGAAGGGGTCGAAAGTAGCTTATCATGTCGGTTTTTCAATTAGATTATGTAGCGGGCCCCCAGCTAAATATAGCTATTCTGCAGCTGGGCGCTAGGTTCGCGGTAGACCTGCGCTAGTGTTTAACAAGTCCAACTCCAATGTATGTTTTTGGTTCTGCTCTGATATCTAGCACCCTCTCCTTGCAGCTGGAACGTGGTACCACATGATTGAGTGGAGTGTTTGAGTAACTGTGTATGCAAATATACCTCATCAGCATGACATTGACCAATCTGCAGGTGCAAGCACAGTTTGCACAAGTTTTTGCAACGGTAGCTGGTTGTTGTTGTTGTTGTTTGTGGAATTTGCTGATCTAATGCAGCGCCTTGCTGCCCAAGCTTCTTTGTTCTACATCACCAGGACATATTGCTTGGAAGGCTCAGCTTACGGACTGCAAAGAGACCAATTACATTGGAAGAGCCACAAGTTCAGTGATTTGACCAAGGGTGAAACCATCCAATTCCAGTTCTTTAAAGAGCCAATTGATGACAGAGAGTGGCGAAAATGTTTTTATTTTTTACGAACTCCAGATGGAAGAGGCAGTTTCCACAAAGACACAGTCAGTCAGCGATTTTGGAGCGACATGCCATGCTCCAAGACCATGATGTGGAGCTCCCTGACAAAGACGACTTGTCCAATAGGCTTGGTAGATATCAACGAGGTTTGCAGATCAAACGTACCAGAGGCATTCGCCAAAGGCGAGCCTTGCTTGAAAAGGCAAAAAGCTCAGACAGTTCAACTTTCTCCGACACCAGCGAAAACAGAGTTGCGCTGCGCTAGACACACTTCTCACAATTTAGTCCCAATACTTGATAGGTACATGTTTCTTGCAATGACCAATGGTGTGTTCTATAAGTAAAGATTATGTAGCGGGCCCCCATGTGAATGCGACTTTCATCCATTTCTGGAAGAAGACATTTCGACCAGATCCCACATATCACCACACGATAAAACCCCGCAATGGCAATGACAAATTGCTACGTGGCGTTTCATGTCATGCCCTGCGGCAAAATCAACACTTTTGGCTGGATTGTAATGGCCTAACACCTCATGGGTGAATGCAGCTTCTTGATTCGATCTCAGTTGGGCTTTACATCATTTTGCAACGGAGGGGTATTTTTTGGATTTGTTTTTGAAAAAATTGTTGTTTTTTCTGGTGGTTTTTGGCTTTTGGTTGCTTTTTGGTTTTTGGTGGCTTTTGGCTTTTGATGGCTTTTGGCTTTTGGTGGTTTTTGGCTTTTGGTGGCTTTTGGTTTTTGCTTCTTTGTTGGCCTTTGGTGCTGTTGGCTTTTGTGGTTTTTTTGGCTTCCCTTGCTTCCACGGCTGTCGTGCTGGAGCTTACAAAGCTGTGCTGCTAGGAAAAAAGGAAGGAAGGAAAGAAGGCAGGAAGAAAGGAAAGAAGGAACGAAGGTGAGCAGAGTGCTGCTGCAGGTGGCCAGCTTGCAAAGCTGTGCCGCAAACCGGAAAAGGAAGCAGGCAAAGGACAAGGAAAAAGGAAAAGGAACAAGGAAAAAGGAAAAGGAAAAGGGAAAAGGAAAAGCAAACACAATCAATGAAAAAACAATCGAACAAACAAAGAAACACATCAAAAATAAATCCGCAGCCAATAAATCCGCAGCCTTTTGCAACAGTACGTGCACTTCAGTTTGCCGACAAGCGCATTCAAATCAATCTTGCCTCCGTTGATGTCGCAGGTGAAAGCTGTACTCCGACGACGGCAGACTTCGCCCAAACAGTTGTTTGCTTTGCAGGTTTGCTGAGTATCGCTATGCAAAGAAGACATCAATGATAGGTCACGGAACGAGTCATAACACAGCATTGAAAGTGGGGATCAGAATATAGAGCCATTGCCGCTGGGAAGGCGGGACAGAGATGTTTACACATGAGTGTCATTGACCTGGCCCGGGCGCGCAGACCTTAGGTCTCAGTTGAGAGAGCGCATAAATGCTAACAATGTGTACTGTAATTATCCTTTACAAGCTATGATCTATGCTCACCGTATTCTGTACTTGAACTTATTATATATACTGTGCCCATTTTATGACGCTGTTCTTTTGAAAGGGGTGTGGCGGTAGGCCGAATTGGAACGCAGAAGGGCTTGTGTTCTTAGCAGGATTGATTTTGCTCCTCCTTTGTTGGTGTGTGTTTTCTTTTTGTAAGCGGCTACTTATGTTTCATGTGTTTTCCATATTCAGCTACATTCAGCTAAAGGCAGCGAAGAGGTCCAAATGAACGAGCTCAGGGCGAAGGGCACAAACCCAAGGCTCCAACAATTCGGGTTCCTTGATCAAGCTGAAGCTGGGCGGCTGGCTCTGGCCGCGGCAAGGCACTTTCAGTACACAACTGCATAAATGGGATCAGTGCTTGGCAGAGTGTTGCAGGTTTGAGAGCCAAAGTCTCACATCCGATGCGCCCTTCACTTGTCCACCGTATTCTGATCATTTTGTTGTTGGCTAGATTTGTACGAATCAAGCTGAACTGCACACATGCGTCACTGATCCGCTGAGGAACTTGTTCGTCAGCCTGGATAATTTTGTTCGGCTCATGGGAAGTGTCCCTGGAAGCTTGGTGAGGGTCCCAGGGTTGTCGAGATGTAGCAGTTTTCTCATATGAATGTCATTGCGTTGCATAGCGGAAAGGTTGAAGAGCGTGATGATCAGCATGACACTTCAAGCGTCCCGTCCTTGGCCCTTTGTAACCTTCAGACATTCAGATTTATAGTGTAAGAACCAGTGGCCTTTAGGTTATGGCATCCCCGAGTGCCCAAATGGCAGAGACTCAACTCAACCTCGAGGCATGAAAGGGCTTCTTGGTACTGTGGTGCACCATGGATGTACTTTGGAAAGTACACACATGCATAGTGGTTTCTTCTGGCGTAAACGAACAGCTGTGCTGTTTTTTTGTTTTTGCTCAAGGCAGGTCGCTGGGCGATCAAGATAGTTCCACATGACAGAATGGTGGAAGTGTGGAGCTCCCGAAAGGTTCCGGGCAGTGAGGCAGGTAGTGCACGGAATCATGAGCAAAATGAGTAAACGATTGTTGGATCCGCACTACAGTTGAAAGCCAGACTATCCAGGCACGTCCTTTCAGCATTTGGCGACCCGATCTAAAGGCGAGAACAGGGATGGAAGTCTGAACTGAACCTGCAGATAGAAGCATGATGAGTTCAACATAGAAGAAACAAGAAGTGAAGGGCCGTCGGAAGGGCTCCTTACCCTTTAGCAGGGCCCATGTAAAAAGAAGTCCTTCCCCATTGTTCCCTTGATGTTTTTGAGAACAATGAAAGCTTGTGAACCGATACGGTATTGTGCTGCAAATTGACAGACTGGAGCTGCTGCTGGAGGAAATACATTTCAGCAAGGGCTCAGGACAGGAGTCGGGTCAGAAGCTTGTTTTGCTATGCTTCTCGCCTGCGTATTGTGCATGGCATAATTCCATTTCAGTACCGAAGTGGTCAGTCAACAAGCAACGCAACGCAAACCAAAGGTTTCGGAAAAGTATGTAGGGCTTGAGCTTCCCGAGATAAACCCCTTTTTTCCGTTCCAGCTACAGCACAGCACTACTACAGCACGGCCTCCTGGCACAACAAGATTTCTTCAGATCCAACATGATCCAACTACCATGTCAATAACAGACGGCGAGCTGTCAGAACTCCTCATTCTTAATGTTTACTCTCCGACTCTCCGTCACAGATTTCTGTTGAATGGCTTTTTGATGAACAGCTTATATAACTGGAGCTGCCGAAGTGACCCAAAAAAGCATTTGCATGTGTGTGTGTGTGTTCTTGGATCAGGAAGGTAGTCACCTAGCGGCTAGCGGTATGTTTCTGTGGCTTTGCCATCACCAGGGGTTGACATGCTGGTGTCGAGTCGAGTCGATCTAGAATGATGGGTGGCTAGAGAAGCAGAGGAGCAGCTGTTGAGGCCAGGGCAGCTGTTTCAGACGAAAGCACGGCCGGGGCAGTTCATTGGTTTCGGGCTCCCTTGTTTTTAACCCTCGAAGAATGGTTTTTTCATCATCCCTTTCTTTTCCACCCTCGAAACCTGTTTTTTCCACCCTCAAGAATCCTTTTTTCCCCACCCTTTGGAACCTTCTTTTTCCACCCTTCCAAAACCTTGTATTTTCACCCTGCACCCTGTCATTTTCACCCTGGAGCATGTTTCTTTCACCCTTCACCTTGTTTTTTTCACCCTTCACCCTTTCTTTTTCGCCCTCGACCCTTTCTTTTCAACCCTCGGCCGATGAAGCAGGCAACCCCTGGAACCTGCACAGAGAACGATGTCACCTCCGGTTTGTTTCACACCGCTTGTTTGCACCTGCCAAAACCTTTGTGTTCACCTCAATAACTTCTTGTTACTAACCCTTCGGAACCCTCCGGAAACTGCGCAGAGACTGTCCGGAACGACGGGAACCGCCGGAAACTGACCCGGACGCCTCCGGAACGTAAGGCAGCACAGGATCCATCCATCCATCTATCCATCCATGCACCCATCCATCAACGGAGTGCCAACCAACCGACCAACCAACCAAGCAACAACGCGGCCAAGCCAACAAACCAACCAAGCAACCAACAAGCCAAGCAATCAAAGCCACCCATCCCGTTAGCGCTGCGCCCTCCCCCGCACCCCCTCCCGCCTTTATTTACACAGCATCCATCCATCCATCTATCCATCCATCCATCCATCCATCAACCAAGCACACAAACAGAAAAAATTGCATATCCATCAAGCACTGTATCACACAAGCAACCACGGCAAGCAAACCAACAGACCAACACACCAAAAAGTTACATTTTCCTCTCTGTCCATGATCCATCACTGTATGCGTTTTCTCCAAATCCAAGCAAACAACAAGCCAAGCAGGCTGAACCAACCAACACACCAACCAAAGGAAGGATAGTCAAAAAGGGTGGGTAGCCCACCAAGCCTCCAGCAAACCAAGCAACCAAACTGCGTTTTCCTCAAATGCTGTCGATATTTGCATTGGTAGCCCACCAAGCAACCAACAATCCAAGCAACCAAAACCACACAACCCCCTGTTTTCCCCAACGGCTGTCGATATTTGGTTTGCATTACAACAAGCTAGCCAACCAACCAACCAACCAACACACCAAGCAAAGGAAGGAGGGTGAAAAAGATAGGGTCGAGGGTCAAAAAAGACCTGATAGAACCCACGAACCCGAATGCAGTTACTTTGTATAGAAGCGTAGCACTCAAAGCGTTCTTGTTTTCAGAGATGACTCGCAGAGTCATCAACTAAAGCAGCGCCAGCACCTCCCCAGCGGTCTAGACACCCTTTCTCGACACACTTTGCTAGACAATCTTTCTTGACACTGTCTCTTGACACTCTTGCTGGGCACTCTTGCTTGACACTCTTGCTTGACACTTTTGCTGGATACTTTTACAGGACATTCTTGCTTGACATTTTTGCTTGACACTCTTGCTGGACACTCGTGCTTGACACTTGAAAACAAGCATTTTTCACGAGACTTTCACCAGAAGCGACAATCAAAGCTTCCAAAAACGAGCATTTTCCACGAGACTTTCTCTTGCTAAACACTCTTTCTTGACACTCTTTGCTAGACAATCTTTCTTGACACTTGTTCTTGACACTCTTGCTGGACACTCTTGCTTCACACTCTTGCTGGACACTCTTGACACGACACTCTTGCTTGACACTCTTTCTTGACACTCTTTGCTAGACAATCTTTCTTGACACTTTCTCTTGACACTCTTTGCTGGACACTCTTTGCTAGACACTCTTGCTTGACACTCTTGCTGGACACTCTTTGCTAGACATTCTTGCTGGACACTCTACTCTTTCTTGACACTCTTTGCTAGACACTCTATCTTGACCCTCTTTGCTAGACACTCTTGCTTGACACGTTTGCTGGGCACTCGTTGCTAGACACTCTTGCTTGACACGTTTGCTGGGCACTCTTGCTGGGCACTGATTGCTAGACATTCTTGCTAGACACTCTTGCTAGACACTCTATCTTGACACTCTTTGCTAGACACTCTTTCTTGACACTCTTAGCTAGACACTCTATCTTGACACTCTTGCTTGGCACGTTTGCTGGACACTCTTGCTGGACACTCTTTGCTAGACATTCTTGCTGGACACTCTTGGGTGACACTCTTTCTTGGCACTCTTTGCTTTCTTGACACTCTTTGCTTGACACTCTGCTAGACACTCTTGCTGGACACTCTTGACAGGACACCTTGCTTGACACTCTTGCTAGACACTCTTTCTTGACACTCTTTGCTAGACAATCTTTCTTGACACTTGTTCTTGACACTCTTCCTTGACACTCTTGCTGGACACTCTTTCTTCACACTCTTGCTGGACACTCTTGACACGACACTCTTGCTAGACACTCTTTCTTGACACTCTTTGCTCGACAATCTTTCTTGACACTTTCTCTTGACACTCTTGCTTGACACTCTTGCTTGACACTCTTGCTTAACACTCTTGCTTGTCACTCTGCTAGACACTCTTGCTGGACACTCTCCCTTGACACTCTCTCTTGACACTCTTAGCTAGACAATCTTTCTTGACACTCTTTGCTGGACACTCTTTGCTAGACACTCTTGCTGGACACTCTTGCTTGACACTCTCTCTTGACACTCTTTGCTGGACACTCTTTCTTCACACTCTGCTAGACACTCTTGCTGGACACTCTTTGCTAGACACTCTAGCTGGGCAGGACACTCTGCTAGACACTCTGAAATGACATTCTGCTAGACACTCCTTCTTGACACTCTCTCTTGACGCTCTTTGCTAGACAATCTTTCTTGACACTCTTTGCTAGACACTCTTGCTGGACACTCTGCTAGACACTCTTGCTGGACGCTCTTTGCTAGACACTCTTGCTGGATACTCTTGCTGGGCAGGACACTCTGCTAGACACTCTTGCTGGACACTCTTGAAATGACATTCTGCTAGACACTCTTGCTTGACACTCTCTCTTGATACTCTTTGCTAGACAATCTTTCTTGACACTCTTTGCTGGACACTCTTTGCTAGACACTCTTGCTTGACATTCTTTGCTGGACGCTCTTTGCTAGACACTCTTGCTTGACACTCTTGCTTGGCACTCTTGCTGGGCACTCTTGCTGGGCAGGACAGTCTGCTAGACACTCTTGCTGGACACTCATGCAATGACATTCTGCTAGACACTCTTGCTAGACACTCTTTCTTGACACTCTTTGCTAGACTGCTAGACAATCTTCCTTGACACTTGTTCTTGACACTCTTGCTGGACACTCTTGCTTCACACTCTTGCTGGACACTCTTGACACGACACTCTTGCTTGACACTCTCTCTTGACACTCTGCGCTAGACAATCTTTCTTGACACTTTCTCTTGAC